GGTGGTGGTGCTGCTGGTGCTGCTGGTGCTGCTGCTGCTGCCGCTGCTGGTGCTTGTGCTGGTGCTGCTGCTGGTGTTGCTGCTTCTGTTGCTGATACTGCTGTTGTTGCTGCTGTTGCTGGTACTGTTGCTGCTGCTGCTGCTGCTACTGCTGTTGCTGTTGCGGATGCTGTTTCTGCTGCTGTTGCTGCTGCCGCCTGCAGTGCTGCTGCTGCTGCTGCTGTTGCTGCTGTTGCTGCTGTTGCTGCTGCAACTTTAGTATTTCCATTGGCGCTATCACTATTGTTATTTTATTATTATTTTTATATTTTATTTTATTTTATTTTATTTTTATATATTTACTGTGAGCTCGGCTTGTCTCTGTTTTATTCAGGTGTATAGGGACCTCTCCCTCTGGCTAAACCCTCAAGACATCACGCAGACAGATGAAGGCTGGCGCTGGTAACCCTAAACCCTAAACCCTAAACCCTAAACCCTAAACCCTAGCTGGTTCTGGTCGCCTATATTTATTTCCCTCATTGCTGCAGCAGCAGCAGCTGCTGCTGCTGCTGCTTTTGCTGCTGCTACTGTGTCTTATTGCTGCTGCTGTTGTCTGCTGCTGCTGCTGCTGCTGCTGCTGCTGTGTGCAGGAAGCACGAGGAAGCGCTGCTGTCGTTGCTGCAGCAAGGGGGGGGCCCCCTTCCTTCTGCTGATGTGAGCATAATGGATCGATACCAACAAAAGGGTTTAAATAAATTTTCTCTTACCCTCCGTTTCTTATTCACGCCACCACCAACTGTCTCTGTAAGGGTTTAGGGTTTAGGGTTTAGGGTTTAGGGTTTGGGTCTAGGGCCTGGGTGTAGCTAACTGGTGTAAACCCTAAACCCTAAAAAAACAGAGAAGGAGGGCTTTCTGGTTAGAGCTGTAAACCCTAAACCCTAAATCACGAAGACAGAGAGGAATGTAATAACCCGAAAGGGCTTCTTGAGGGTTTAGGGTTTAGGGTTTAGGGTTTAGGGTTTGCGTGTTGCTGCAGGATCCGTCGGTGTTGTCTGATTTGTCTCTGCAGCAGATGCAGTTTATTTCTGCTGCCGTTTGTAGCGCCTTTCCAGTACAAGTCCGTTCAAAGTAAACCCTAAACCCTAAACCCTAAACCCTAGAGGGTTTCTGTTGTTGAGGGTTTAGGGTTTACGGCTTACGGCTTAACAAACCTCGTGCATAAACCCTCAGCGTTTAGGGTTTAGGGTCTGGGGGGCTCGACAGGCGGACGATAGGAGATGTCCCTAAGAAACCACAAAGTTAGGGTTTAGGGTTTAGCGCTAGGGTTTAGGGTTTTGCGCTAGGGTTTAGGTTTTAGAGCTAGGGTTTAGGGTTTAGAGCTAGGGTTGAGGGTTTAGGGTTTAGTGTCAGGGTTGAGGGTTCAGGGTTTAGTGCTAGGGGGTTTAGGGTTTAGGGCTAGGGTTCAGGGTTTAGGGCTAGGGTTTAGGGTTTAGGGCTAGGGTTTAGGGTTTAGAGCTAGGGTTTAGGGTTTAGGGTACCTGGGTAATCCGGCAGCACGAGGCCATACTTTTCCTTCAACCAGCTGCGTACACCCAAAAACAATATCTAGGGTTTAGGGTTTAGGGTTTAGGGTTTAGGGTTTAGGGTTTAAGCACAGGAGACAAAGACAAACAAAAGCAGAAATGCATTAACACAGAGACAGAGAAAAAACAAATGAATATAAATAAAAAAGAGAGAGACAGATAAACAAACAAATGAAAGGAAATAAAGACAAAGACAAAAGAAAAAGAAAAGGGAGACAAAAAGGAGACAAAAAGGAGACAAAAAGAGAAAAAGTAAATACCTAGGTATGAATCTCCTTAAACAGAAAAACAGAGACAGAAAAAGAGACAAAAAAAGAGAAAAAAAGAAAGAAACAAAAGAAGACAAAAGGAGACAAAAAAGAGACAAAAGGAGACAAAAAGG